GTGTAGGTGAATCCAGCAGTAAGAAGAAGAGAAACAGAGAGGTTGGGTAGTGGAGTGGTTGGGAAGAAGGATAAGAGTAGTAATACACTGAAAGAAGGGGAGGAGAGGTAGATACCCTATCATCATCATCACATGCTGCTGCTCATCATGAAGATAATAGGTAATAGAAGTTATTGATATGGATAATTGTAGTATTAGTAGTAACAGATGTGTATTCAAAGCGAACGGCTCATCACGACTACTATCACCATCTACAACAACAAGAAGAATAGCATCACGATCATTGAATACCACTACTACTACTACTAGTGGTAGGATATCCAATAATACTGGTAATAACAATGTTATTATCCACTATCCAATTGTTGTGATGATGATGATGAACAATAATACAACACCTAAAACAGACCACTAATAAGGCCAGTCGTATTACCGATAATAATAATAAGCTTTATTATCATTACTACCCCAAGGTTGTTGACTTATGACCCCCTACTACTACTATCCTCCTAAGGTACACAATTATATAGTGCTTATCAGATCATGGTTTCTAATACTATCAAGGATGACCTTATCAATCGTGGTAATAATAATAATTATTCATTATTATTATACTACTACTACTACTATCATCATTATTAGGGTTATGGAATAACGCCAAGTATTGGAGTAAATTCGGTGAGATGTTAGATATAGGTCTCCCTGTAGAGGATAGTTATCAGATGGCTAAGGAATATGTAAAGAGGAGGAGGGGGGAGGATCATAGTAATTGTGATCATATTAGATGGATACACTCAATAACAAGGAGAGCTCGAGACGTCACCATGCTAAGAGAGTACCAGGGAAGGCTGATGACAAGAAGAGCAACATAGAGGATGAAGAAGTAGTATCGTCGTTTAGTACCCCCCTCATCATCAGTAGTAGTAGTAGTAGTAGTGGTAGTAGTAGTAGTAGTAGTAGTAGTAGTAGTAGTAGATGTCGTCCTCCTCCTCTTCGTCTTCCTCCTATTCTTATTATCATGTCAGGTTGGTGAATGCCCAGTATGTGGTAAAACTGGTATACCTCTCATCGACCTTCAACGTCATGTTAATGATTGTTTACAATGAGGATTATCCTAATCATCCATACTCTATTCCAAGTCTATTATATTCATAGATATTCACCTAGAGAAGTGTTTCTCATACTACTACTAGTAGTAATAATAGCAGTAATGTTCTTGGTTTAGTTAGTTAGCCACACTTTCTAGCCTTCCTACGTTTTGCATTATTGTAACCCCCTGTACATGCCTCATGATACCCCCCCCCCCTCCATCTATCTATATTTACAACCTAGTTCTAGTCGCCAATGCACCATGATAGCCCTCCTTCATCACTTTTAGAGGTACTTCATCAAGACTATTAGGGAACTGAATACCCTCCTCTGGATACATATTATACATCAAGGTTTGTGCTAGACGGACTAGTAGTACAACTTCATCCCTATTGGTTATCACTTCTATCACCTCCTTCTCATCATTAACACATCCAATGCTGATAATAATAGTAAGATGTCTACGTTATCAAACCCGGTTATCTTGTCGTCGTCTATGTGAACAGATCTCTTGTGATAAGTGATATGATACCCTCCCCACTCACACTATATTTAATGTCTTCGAAATATTGACGCCAACCTCATAGTCTTGTTTTATATTAATAACCTCTTCACAAGAGGAAATAATGCTTGGTGTTGTCGTAGTGTATTAGTGGGCCTCGTCTTACAGTCTGTAAGACGTAAGTTACAGATTTCAAAAGATAACAACAGCCGTT